TGATTAATATTAATCATATGTCAATTATATTCAAATAGTATTTCTACTTAAAGAACTCTATATAACTGGATCTATGATTTTACATATTTTACAAAAACATGCAGCATTCCTGATTGTTACGTATATTATTCCCAGCAATAAATGCTGGTTTTGAGACAGAATGCTTTTCTCCGTTAGTCCTAATTGTTGTGTTGAAATGATGAGGGTTAACTGCAAGAACTTTGACTGTACATTAAATTTTCTATTTTTTAGCTCAGATACTTTTTTTTTGGCATTCTGCTTTTAAACATTTAAATGTGAACAGTGGGCTATGAAACAAAAATTCAGTTAGGAGAGGAAAATTTGCTACTAATATTTCAGGCCAATTGTAGAGCATTTTATTTACTTCAAGTACAAATTCATATTTTATCGCTTATTTGATAACTTCACTCATTAATTAAAAATTAGTCATATTACATAATTATATACTGCCTACTCCAAATGGTTTTAGGGAAAAGGTGATTAACCCTCCTTCCAGTTGGTCCCTATAATGCATGCAGAAATTGTGTAATGCTTGTGTTTAGGAGACTGGTGGAAGTCATTTCGATTTACTTACCATGTACTTTTGTTATCAGGGAGTACGAGTATCTTTTTTTATAGCAGCAGTTCAAAGACTTTGTTTGACAGGGCTTATGGATATACATTTTGATAACTATGCACTTAGAAGTACATAGATAAACAGACGTTGCTGTCTGAAAGGATATTTCAGTCAAGACAAATCCATGTGATTTTGTGTTTATATGTCACAACAGTGACAGCATTATTGCTTAATCAATGCCAGGAACACATGTTTTAACAGGTGCATGGCTCAGATAGACTCCAGTAGATGTGTTTTTCAGTCTACTTAGTTTCGTGTGCATTATAGTAGTCCATTTCTCAGGGGCTGTGTTGGTAATAATTCTGAAATACAATAACTTTAAAATTTCATTCTTAAGTATTTAAGATCTCATTTCTTAAACAGTGTCATACCGATTTTGGTTTTGGACAGAGAAATTAATGTGATGGTAAAAATATGTAGGG